AAATATGTATGTATATATGTATATATATATATATATATATATATGTACATTTATTTATTATCATTAAAGTTAATATATATGGAATCTCGATGTGCAGGAAGTCTATCTAGAGTTCCCAGAATTTAGACTGGCGGCCTCATCTACCACCCATCCATGCTGGCACTCCATGGCTCTGGCCAACCTCACATCCTCTCCAGAATTCCTCCTACTCGGCCTGATGGACGGAAGGGACCCCCACCCACTGTTGTTCCTGCTCTTCCTTAGCGTCTACCTGCTTAACACCCTAGGCAACCTGAGCATGGTGGTGGTGGTGAGGTCCGACGCGGCCCTCCGGTCCCCCATGTATTTCTTCTTGGGTCACCTGAGCCTCGTGGACATCTGCTTTACCACCGTCACAGTCCCCAGACTGCTGGCTTGCCTGCTCCGCCCAGGCCAGGCTGTGTCCTTCCAGGGGTGCTTTGCCCAGATGTACTTCTTCGTGGCTCTGGGCATCACCGAGAGCTACCTGCTCGCAGCCATGTCCTACGACCGCGCAGTGGCCGTGTGCAGGCCCCTGCACTACGGCGCGGTCATGACGCCCTGGCGCTGCGGGGCGCTGGTGGGGGCGTCCTGGGCGGTGGCCCACCTGCACTCGCTGCTCCACACGCTGCTCATCTCCGCGCTCTCCTACCCCCGCTCCGCCCCTGTGCGCCACTTCTTTTGTGACATGACAGTGATGCTGAGCTTGGCGACCTCGGACACATCTGCCGCGGAGTCTACCATCTTCTCTGAGGGCCTGGCGGTGGTGCTGACCCCGCTGCTGTTGGTGTCCCTCTCCTACGCGCGCATCCTCGTGGCGGTGCTAGCAGTGCGGTCCACGGGCGGCCGGCGGCGCGCCTTCTCCACCTGCGGGGCCCACCTGGTGGTGGTGTCGCTTTTCTTTGGCTCTGTCCTCTCCGTCTATTTCCGGCCGTCCTCCGCCTACTCCGCCCGCTACGACCGCCTGGCCAGCGTGGTCTATGCTGTGGTCACGCCGACCCTGAACCCTTTCATCTACAGCCTTCGCAACAGAGAGGTCAAGGGTGCACTAAAAAGGGGGCTCGGAGGGAGGGCTGCACCCCAAGTCACGTGAAGGCAGGTCTGGATTCACTGACTCTTCCATAAGTTTCATAATTACCAAAAACCCTTTATTTTTAGCTTTCCAAAGCACTATCAGTTTTGATCCTACACTGTCTTATTTCTTGATTAAATTTAAAAACTGAAACTAAAGCAAATACGATTGTGTTAATTCCGGTGATGTGTTCATAGCAGTAGGTCACATTCGTTTCTGTATTATCTGAATGTTTCAGATAGCGTCTGCTTTCAAATCTTGGAAAATATAAAGGGAAACAGGAGCAGGGGAGCGCCTTGTTATTTGTGGAACGGGACTTGTGGCCAGTGTCTATTACCTCCTTAGCTGTTACTCCTTTTTCACTCTGAGAGTTTTTTATTTATGCCTTTTTCTCATTTTTGTCATTTTATGTGCCAAAGTTGTTAGCTGTTTCATAAATCTTTCCAAAGAACCCACATTCTGTTTAATATTAACTCCATTGTTGCTTGATTTTCGACTTCCATTGATCTTTTTCACCTTCATATTGATTCATTTCTTCCTCCTATTTTCATGTTGATGGTGTGGTGCTTTCTCTACAATAGATTGTTAAGGTTTATGTCTCATCCTGACTTCAGGGGAGAGGAGTGGATGAACTTGACACCTCTTCTGTTAGCATGGACGTGGATACTGCATGACCGTGCTGTGAGGGAGGGAGCCCATGGACTCTCAGGTCTTACTGGTCCCGCTGGTCTCTTGGACTCTGCCAGTCTTTCATCTGGTTCTGGCTCACCTTAGCTACTGCCAGAGTCCTCCCACTCCATATCATGGCAGCCTCTGCAGACACACTCAACTGCTAGCTTCTGACTGGGCTCCACCAGTGTGTAAAAACTTTCCAGCTATTCGTGGTCTGTGGTGGTTGAGAAGATTTCGTGTGTGTGTGTGTGTGTGTGTGTGTGTGTGCGCGCAGTGCTACAGGCGATAGTTTAGATACTCATTCCTAGACCAGTGTTGCCATGAAGTGAATATCTCATATAATGGTGGATTATTCTGAAAATTTTCCTCCTCCCAGGTATCACCCAACAAGTAAAGTGGGCTTGCTCTTCATTGTTCAAAACTATTTAGAAGATCCCTCACTGGAAGTTGGAGGACAAAGAGCAGGTCCCCATGCTGACATCCAAACTCTTGTTAAAAACACTGTTATTTTACATTATTATTAAAGTGGTGTTTAATGCAATTAGAAAAAAAATTAATGGAACTAAAATTTGAAAGGAATATACATACTTATCAATATTTATATTAGCCTTTTGTTTGTTTGTTTGTTTTAATTTAGCAGCAGGCATGTATGCTATGTAGAGGGACAGAGAAAGAACAAAAGTGAGAAAGCATCACCCCCCCCCATGGGGAGTAGTCATGCTGCAATTCCTTCTCCTCCATTTTCCCCTTCTTTCAGGATTTCCATTATACATGCACAGGCACCTGGTATGTTTCTCAAGTCACCAGGTCCTGGACTAGAACTGAGAGGTCAGCCATGTGGGATCTGCCCACCTTAACCACCATGCCACATACTGTCCCTATATTAGATTCGATGGTATATATCCAATATAGTTACATAACTATCCAAGATCATTAAAGATCCTTATTAGAAACAATAAGAGAATAAGTAAAGGTGGACTGTTGCAAAAATTGATACAAAACAATTGATAACATTTTTATGTACCAAAAAAACCTGTTAAAACACAATAGTAATCCCTCAACATATTTTAAATAGAAATACCAAAGACATAAAAATATAATGTGCAGATATCAAATTAAGAAATCTACAGAACTCAACTAAAAAATTTTTGAATAAATAAAAATATATTCTTTACAGACAACTGTATGGATAGCCAACTCTACTTAATAAATGTAGAATTCAGTGTAATTGAATGTATAAAAGAAAATTAAAGAAAAAAAGAAAAAAAAGAACTGAAGCGTATTTAGTAGAATAAATGTGTCAGGAAAATTTAGAAAGAAAGATATATTGAAGAGGGTTTAAATATTTAAAATGTATTATTATGAGAGCATATCTTATATGGTACCACTAAATCTACAGAATGGAATTGTTATAATCATGTCTAGAAAGAAACTCAACTCTATTTAAACACTTACTATGTTGTAAAGGTAGTGTTTTTAAAATTTTAAAATCAGTAAATTGAGACATTCGGTCTACTAAAAGGGAAAAAGAGAAAGAGGGTAATTGTCCTTAAAACCAAAGTTCAGGTCAATCAGAGACAGAGATGTAGAAACTAAAACTCTGAAAAAACTAAAGGAAATAATAGAATAGTTAATTTAGAGATAGAAAAGTCCTTTCTAAACATTTCAGAAGAAAAAATAAACCATACAGTAAAAGTCAATTTACTTGACTACTCCAAAATTTTAAGTATTGTTTGATTCCTTTATTTATTTATTTATTTTTGAGAGAGAGAGAGAGAAACCAAGAGACAGGCATCCCTAACAGGATCTTCACACCATGATCGACCCCAGCCTCAGCTGGTCTTTTGTAAAGAAAAAATATACCACTACGAAAGCCAAAACATTAATAATAAATTGAGAGAAATGTCACCTGCAAGATAGACAAAGTGACATTATACATAGAAAATTGACTCAAGGCAAAGGAAAAGTATCTCATAAGTAGATGTTTGATCTTACAGATACATACAGAAATTCAGTTTTAAAACTGAAATCTCATATATTGCACAGGCTGATACATACTTGGAAGCAAAATATCCAGTGTCAGGGATTTTGCATAAACAGTCATTCTTACTTTTGGAGGAGTTTACAATAGTTGCAATTTGGCAAATTCTATTTGATTATAAAATGTTCATATCCTTTAATCTATAACACCCATTTCTAAGAATTTGACCATAAAAACACAGGACAAGTCCACAAAAAACAATATAGACCTGAAAATGCATTCAAATGCATGTTGCCCTGGGGCAACATGACGAACATGCTTATGTGCCCAGGCTTCTGACAGGATAGAAAATTGGAGGAAAAAGAATAATGGCATGACCAGGCCTTGTTGAAGAATGCTTTCTATTTCATTCTTACCTCTCTGTCACACATGCACCCTTAGGCATAATAAAAGAAAAAGTCTAAGTTTAAAAAAATATAAATGTATGGGAACCAGCAGTTAGCGTAATGGCTATGTCGCTGGATTCCCATGTAGTCGACCGCGGTTCAAAAAGTCTGAGTTTAAAAAAATATAAATGTATGAGGTGATGGTTATGCTAAGTAGCTTAATTTTAATCATTCCACAAAGTGACCATATAGCAAAACATGACATTATATCCCCATAAACACGTAAAATTATTTTTCAATAAAAAATAAAATAACTTTTTAAAATGAGCACTGAAGTGACTGAGAAATCTGGATTCATTTCTTAGAGAACTAGGAAGTACCAAGCTCAGAGTAACTACTCAACATTGATTAACAGTCATGGAATCCCTGCAACATATCAGGCCTTGGGCTACCTTGCACCTGTGTATGAGGTGATGGTTATGCTAAATAGCTTAATTTTAATCATTCCACAATGTGACCATATAGCAAAACATGACATTATATCCCCATAAACACGTAAAATTATTTTTCAATAAAAAATAAAATAACTTTTTAAAATGAGCACTGAAGTGACTGAGAAATCTGGATTCATTTCTTAGAGAACTAAGAAGTACCAAGCTCAGAGTAACTACTCAACATTGATTAACAGTCATGGAATCCCTGCAACATATCAGGCCTTGGGCTACCTTGCACCTGAGATATATGGTAAAATTAAAAAGCACAGTGAGTCTTCCCTAGTACAACTTGAGAAAACTCCCCTTCGGCATGCTATGGGTATTGCATCAGTGGCACCAAACTTAGTCACTACCATAATATTTAGAATACTACTCATTTTCAATATTACACCTATTGTTAGAAAACATACTTTGACCTTTGGAGTCACTGTCCCAAAGAAAAGTGCATCATCCACTTTGTAAAGATGTTTTTCAAGGCTCCCTTTATGTCCTGGTTCCTCAGGCTGTAGATGAAGGGGTTCAGCATAGGGGTCACCACAGTGTACATCACAGCCATGACAGTCTCCTTCATGGTAGAATTGCCAACTGAAGGGCACAAATAGAGGCCAATGATCGTCCCATAGAACAATGACACCACAGAAAGGTGGGAGCCACAGGTAGAGATGGCCTTACGGATACCCCTAGCAGAAGGGACCTTGAGGATGGAAGACACGATTCGTGCATAGGATGAAAAAATCAACAGAAATGGGACAATTGTGACAAGTCCTCCTACGATAAATATTACTATTTCATTTATCTGAATGTCAGAGCAAGCCAACTTCAGCAGAGCTGACAGGTCACAGAAAAAGTGAGGGATCACATTATCAGCACAGAAAGACAACCTTGCCGTGAGCAGGGTGTGCAACAGAGAGATAAACGTGGCCAGCACCCAGGACAGCACCACCAGGGAGAGACAGAGCCTAGGACTCAGGATGAAGGTGTAGTGCAGGGGGAAGCAGATGGCCACGTAGCGGTCATAGGCCATGGCCACAAGGAGGAAGCTCTCCAGGTCTGCAAAAAGCAGGAAGAAGTACATTTGGGTTAAACAGCCTGCGTAGGAGATAGATGGGTCTTGGCTCTGCATATTCTTCAGCAGCTTGGGAACAGTCACAGAAGAGAAGCAGAGGTCAGAGAAGGACAAGTTGCTGAGTAAGAAATACATTGGTGTGTGAAGGTGGGAGTCCAGTCGAATGAGTATGATGATGAGGAGGTTCCCCAGGACAGTGGTAAGATACATGGCCAGGAACAGGGCATAGACCAATCCTTGCTGATCTGGCTCAAGAGGCAAACCCTGGAGGAGGAACTCTGAGATGGCAGTTGTATTTATTCTTTCCATGTTGGTTTTATTTTACCTTTTTAAAATTAAGAATAATTTGTATGAAAGTATGAGCATATATACACAGGCAAGTATACATACATACACACTACAGAATATTCAGAAATACAATTATTTCCTCTTGTTCAGAGAGGGCAGCAGGAGGGCAACCAAATGAGCACTCTTTAGTGGAGGTGCATAAAAGCATTGGAAACCATGAAACACATGGTGAAAAACACCCATTCCAAGGAAATTAAACATGATTTTCAAACTCTCTCAATGTGCAAATCTCAGAAGGTCACACATAGGATCATTTTTGAGATATTAATCTTTGAAGATTTTGTTTCCTCACTTTCCACTTTCACTTCCCCTCATCCCAGTAGGTAGCTCTACATTAAGTGCCTTGGGATAGAGATGCAGCAGGAAAGCAAACTAGTTCACAGGTTTTCCCAGATTTTACTTCCAAAACCCAAGCCCCAGAAAGAGAACAGAATTTTTGAATTTACTGGTATAAGGACAAAAAAAAAAATGTCTTGGCCAGAACTGGAAGCTTCTTTTTGGCAAATTTGAGAGATTTTCTTGAGAAAGAGTGAGAGAATGGTCAGTGCATCCCAAGAACAGGAGGAGTTGGGTGACATCACTAAGAAGGCCTAAGGTAAGATATAAGCATTGATTCAGAGGAAATTAATACTTTTTTAAAAATATATGATACTATAAATATGGATAATTTCAATGAAATTGTTTATTTGAATGAAATTGTTGATTAGAGTAATGAAATTGTTTATTTTAATGAAATTGTTGATTAGAGAGAGAAAAAAATATAAATTAACTACATTTACTCAGAAAACCAAAGAAACGATCAATGTTAGGCTTTTCCCCTTGTTTTTCTGGATCCTCTGGAGGTGATGGGCTGTTATTCATCTTTGCCCTAGACAGGTCATTAGAGCCCCAGTCTTCCAAATAAGGAATTATATGCTCAAATCTCACTTGGGTCAATCAACAGAACAGAGCTTCTAGAGAAGATCCTTCATGAGGGCAAGAACCATGACTCTCTTGCTTACTGTGCAAGTTGTCTACTTGTATATTTGGTCTCTATCTAGTATCATCTTCATTCTGCATACTGTGTGATGAAGAGTGAAGTATTATAACATCTTACAAAGAGCTTACTGTCTACAAATTGAAGTTGTAAAGACTATATTATCTGAACATAATGCAATAAGAAAATAAATTAATAATAAAAAGGTTATATTTGGATATTAAGACTCACCTAAATAATTTTTGGGTCAAAGAAACAATCAGGATACCAACAAATGTCCTATTCAGAGACAACATAAAAGGAAAACACTACCTATGGCATTCATCATATAAAAAGAAAACAATACCTAATTTTTATTAAGAAACTAGAAATTTTAAATAATTGAAAAAGGTATTCAGATAAAAAGATATAAAGTGGCAAACTTTTTTAAATAGAAGAAAGTGATTATTAAGATGAAAAGTATACTTTAACAAATTAGAAAACAGAAAAGTAGTAAAATTTTTTAAATAATTCAAATTTTTTTCCAAAAAGGATCAACAAAACAGTCAAAACTGATCAATTTAATTTTTATTATAATGATAATTAAAGAATATTAGAAATAAGAAAAAGGATATAATCCCAAAGGCATATTTTAAAATCTATCTTAAGCGTCTCAAGTAAATTTGAATTGTCTAAGCAAAGACAAATTACCAAAACTGACTAAATAATATACACAGTACCTGAATAGACCATTAAAATAAATATTCAAGAATAAATAGAGGGACCAGCAGATGGTTTAATAGTTATGTCTCTGGACTCCTACAAGTCAACCATAGTTCAAGTCCTGCACCTGGTGGTTTGAAATTCACACTGGGCATATGTGCGTGTATGGTTGAAAATCTCAAGAGGAGAATGGAGGAGAAGGGATTGCAGTGTGATCATCCCCTTGGGGGGTGATTCCCTGCTTTCTATATTTCTGTCTCTCTAGTGAGTGCATGCAAAAAAAAGAAAGAAAGAAAGAAAAAAGAATGGAAATATTAAAAACCTAAATACATGACATAAACTAAGAAAATGTTATTTCTAGTAAAAAGATTTAGGCCAATAATAAGCATATAAACAGATGTTCAACATTATTATTCACTAGAGAACTACAAATTAAAATCATAGGATATCATTATACTACTGCACACCCACCACAATGGTTTTTTTAATTGACAATATCAAATATTAACAAGGATGTGGAGCAGTTAACACTCTTATCCATTCCTAGTTAGGATGTAAAATAGTAAAACCACTTTGCACGCTATTTGCAGTTCTTAAAATTACACCCACGCTATGACCTAGAAATTTTGTTCCTGAAATATCCAAATGAAATGAAAACCAATGTCCACATAAAGGTGTGTATAAGAATTTTCACAGAATCTTTACTCAAAAGAGCTAAAACTGAGAAACCCAAGTGTCCATCAGTTGAAGAATGTGGCATAACCATTTCAATGGCATAGTATATAGTGATGAAAAAATGAACTAAGATGACCCACGCAATAACATAGATAAATCTCAAAAACATTATGTTGAGTGAAAGAATCTTGACTCAAAAAAGTGTTATACCACTCCACTTATTTAAAGTTCATGAGCTGGAAAATCTAATCTATAGTGGTAAGAATTGGAGTAGCACTTACCTCTGAAGGTGGCTGGATACTGACAAGGAGGGAGCATGAGGAAATTTTCTCAGATGACATAGGTGGTCTGTAGATTGATCTGCATGGTGATAACGTGGATATCAAGTTCAGCGAACTGTACACTTATGATCTGGGCAGTACAGGTAAATTATGTCGCAATTTTTAAAAATCCTTGGACTAGGATGGTTTCTGGGTTTTTCAAACTATCAAGTAAGAAATAATATTCAAGCTCTGCATGATGCATCCTGGAATCTAATATTGAATAGAGAGCTACCTAATTTACTGAAAAAGAAAAATAAAAGACAAGAAGAATAAAATTATAGACCAATTCCACCTATGTGCATCAAGTCTAAAACATGATTACTCCATCCTTTCATATTTGAAATCACACTAATATGAGACCAGCAGATGTTATAATGACTGTCTCTGGAGTCCCATGTAGTTGATCGTGGTTCAAGTCCCAGACCCAGTGGCTTAAACTCATGCCGGGTGCATTGTCCGGGTGTGCCCAAGATCCCAAGAGAAGAATGGTTTTTTCAAACTATCAAGTAAGAAATAATACTCAAGCTCTACATGATGCATCCCAGAATCTAATATTGAATAGAGAGCTACCTAATTTACTGAAAAAGAAAAATAAAAGACAAGAAGAATAAAATTATAGACCAATTCCACCTATGCACATCAAGTCTAAAACATGATTACTCCATCCTTTCATATTTGAAATCACACTAATATGAGACCAGCAGATGTTATAATGACTGTCTCTGGAGTCCCATGTAGTTGATCGTGGTTCAAGTCCCAGACCCAGTGGCTTAAACTCATGCCGGGCGTGTTGTCTGGGTGTGCCCAAGATTCCAAGAGAAGAATGAAGAAGGGATTGCAGCATGGCCATCCCCCGTGGGGGTGGTGGTGGTAATTTCTCACATTGTGTCTCTGTCTGTCTTTCTGGCAAGCACACATGCCCTTTAATCCCAAAGGCATATTTTAAAATCTATCTTAAACATCTCAAATAAATTTGAAGAATTGTCTAAGCAAAGACAAATTACCAAAACTGACTAAACAATATACACAGTACCTGAATAGACCATTAAAATAAATATTCAAGAATAATTAGAGGGACCAGCAGATGGTTTAATGGTTATGTCTCTGGACTCCCACAAGTCAACCATAGTTCAAGTCCTGGACCTGGTGGTTTGAAATTCACACTGGGCATGTCTGTCTGTCTTTCTGGTGAGCACACTCACCCTATAGCAAAAATCTCTCCAAAAAAGAAAAAAAATCACACTAATGTGTTCAATTAAAAAAATCAGAATTACTTTACCAGAAGCAAAAGGTATTCTAAAAGATCAATACCAATTCCTGACCAAAGCTCATAATGAAAAAACAGGCTACTTCCTTTACATTATATATTAGATTTCATCAAAGTTGGACTTCATCCTCTCTCTAGATGAGAGCATTCTTTAATTCTCTGGGTCACAATGAAATGGAAATCATGGACCCCCCTCCCCATACACTTATATCAAAGGATTTTGCTGCCCATTCCATTAACCATAATACCAGGTATTATACTCATGGCTCCCAGCAAGAATTTTTCAGCTATTCTAAGAGTTTTAGAGTCTCCGAATTCAATAGTGTGTTGCTTGCCCAAGACCTACCTTCATTCTCTACTAGCAACACTGGGTGACTGCTGGCAAAGGGACAGATTGTTCTCATACCTTTAACATACTCACTCAGGGCAGATCATGAGAACTGCCAAACATCTTACTTAGAACATTGATGGGAGAAATCAACAAGAAAGCATTATTCTAAACCAAAGAGACTTTGAAGAGATTTGCATTTACCACATAGTCTCCTGCCTCATAAATATGAAGCCTATTTCTTGGAAGAGACTTAGAGACAGTAGCGTCCTTAAGCACAGTAACTGATCAGTTCTGACCAATTTAAGAACAAGCACAATCCTTAAATTGGGTGTTTCAGGCCATAGGGCATTTTTCTTAGAATTTCCTGAAATAGGTAAGAAAAAGATGTCTTATCAAGCCAACATCATGCGTACTAATAAAAATTTTGAACTACCAACATCAATCAAAATGTAGGATGTTAATCTAAGGCATCACTTTCTGCTAGTAATAAAATACAAGCCACTGGGGCCAGCACATGGTATGGTGGTTAAGGCACTGGACTCCCACATGGAAAACTGGTTCAAGTCCCAGATTTGACAGCTTGAAAGTCATGCTGGAGGCGTGTGTGCCCAAAATCCCAGAGGAGAATGGAAGAGAAAGGATTGCAGCTTGTTGATTTCTCTTTCCTCTGTCTCTTTGGTAAGTGCA